TCTCCGACAAACCTACACAGCTGTGGGTTGAATTTTGCCCTGTTATCTCATATTTCAGGTACAGTTCCCTGGCCATACTACAGTGGGTCATGGGGCAAGAACCTGGAGCTTAAGTGTTTGTTGTTACATCGATCTTGAAGCAGTTCTCCTTTACAACTAGCTGGCCCGTGTCAATCTTGATTTCCTAGTGCTTATTCCTTGTTGGGTGTCTCCTCAACCGGGGAGATGATCTTTTTCGATCCCAGATCTGGCTTTTAATGTAGTGCCAGCCCCCCAAGCTTCCTATATTTAGTTCCCTGAAATATAATACATATGACACTCTCAAAACAAATATTGGCCAAGACAAATACTGCCTTCGGTGTGACAATTCCAGGCTGCCACGAGCCCTTATGATCTGATCTTTCAGCTACTGTTGTTCGGTGACCTCTAGTTGGTTCCTACTCAGTCACCCAGGTTACAGTAGACTGAAATGCTGCCCAGTCCTGCGCCAGCCTCACAATTGTTGCTTGAACCCACTGTTGCAGCCACGGGGTCAGTCTGTCTCACTGAGGGTCTTCCTCTTCCTCACCGACTCTACCAAGCCTGGTGCCCTCTTCCAGGGACTGGCCCCTCTTCTTAACATGTCTAAAGTATGTGAGATGAAGTCTGGCTATCCTCACTTCTGAGGGACATTTTGCCTCTACGTCCTCCAACACAGACTCATTTGTTCTAACATTCCCTGGTACTTGTTCTAGTCTTTGTCAGCACTATAATTCACATGCATCAATTCTTCTTCGGTCTTCCTTATTCACTGTCCAACTTTCACACGCAGATGAGGTGATCCACAATGCCTTGGCTTGGGTTAGGGGCACCTTAGTCCTCAAAGTGGCATCCTTGCCCCTCAACATTTTAAAGAGGTCTTACTCAACAAATTTATAAATTTACCAAGCTGTGCAGTTTAGTCCTTTTTAATTTAAAATTGCCTGTTAGTATATTTTTATATTGTTAATTCACCTCCACATTATAGAAACAATATAACATTTAGTAGAAAACTTAGAAAATTCTAGAACATATGATTCTAATTTTGTTAACCTAATGACAAAAATAATTCCCCTTACTATTAAAAACTCTTCAGTGTGTTATGTTAATAGATTTTCTAAATTCTGTCATTTTGACTATTTCCAAATTTCCTTAAACTTTCCAGTACTCTTAGAAATATAGGTAGTTTCTAATTTTTTTGTGTTCTATAGTTTATTTAATAAAAATATATTACACGGTTTTATGTAAGGGGCTTTTATTATACCCACAGTCCTGGGTACTTTGTGATAGCAGTGCTTATATGTGCAAGGCAGAGAACTTCTGTTTTCTGTATTTTTTCAAAGTTTAGCACTAAGGATAAGCTTTCGTATTAGCTGCAGAAGCCATAAATTACCCATAAACACAGAACCTCAGTGGTCAGATGGGTGGCTGGTGCCCCAGAGTCCGTCATTTTGGGCCCACCGCAGGTTCACATCTCTTATCTCTAGTTTCTCTGTTCTACACCATGAGAATCTCTCTAACAGCATTTGTTGGTTTCTTCC